TGTATGTGTAAAAGTATATGTAAGAGGCCCCGGTGGGGTATAGTTGGGCTTCTAACCACCAGCCACTCTACAAGAGAAAAATGAGGCTTTCTGCCCCCATAAAGATTTGTAGCCTTGGAAACCCTATACAAGGTCACTATGAAAAGTTGGAATTGATGACACACTACAACAATAACAACAACCAAGGATATAAAACAAAACGTTGACCAATTTAACAATCTTTGCACATATAATTCAGTGACATTGAATACACTGACCATGTTGTGCCGCCATCACTGGTAATATTTTCCAGTTTATACCCCCACCAGTAACAGAAACTCGATACCCTCTAAGCAGTGACTCCCCTTCTCCCTCCCCCTCTGGTAATAAGCTTTTGGTCTCTAAACATTTGTCTCTTTTAAATAAACGTTGATGATATTATTAAGTATAATCGAATCACTTCTAACTCATAGTGATCCTTTATAGGGTTTCCAAGGAGCGAGTGATGGATCTGAACTGCTGACCTTGCAGTTCAAATAGATTTTGTGGTCCAGTGTTTATCCTACAATGCCACACCAGGATTCATATGAATAGTTTCATACAATATTTGTCCTTTGTCAAGTTTCATCCGTGATGTGTTAGGACTTCATTTCTCTTTACAGCAATAAACATTCCATTGAATGTATATAAAACCCACCAGCAGCTTGGAAACCCTATGCGGGGTCATTATGAGTAGCAACCCTCTAAGACAAAGGAGAACTGTGCCATAGGACTTCCAAAGGTGCTTTAGAACAAATCAGTGGACTACTAATTGAAAGATTGATGGTTCAAACCCATAAGCCACTCCTTGGGAATCATATATGGGGTTGAGATAAGTCAGAATTGACTCATGAGAACTCAACAATAGCAATAACAATCTGTTTAGGGGCACAGTGGTGCTGTACAATAAGCACTGGACTGCCACTCATAACGTTGGTGCTTTAAGCCCACCAGCTGCTCCTTGGGAGAAAGATGAGGTTCTTGGACTCTTCAAAGATGTACAGCCTTGGACGCTCTATACAGAACGCTATGAGTCAGAACTGACTCTACAGCACTTAGCAACAGCAATCTCTATGGGACAAGACTCTCACAGCTTTCTCCCTCTGATAGACAATAAAGCAAGTAGAAGAAGAAACAAATCCACTCCCATGAGCCGATCCTGACTCATAATGACCCTACATAGGGTTTCAGAGACTGTAAATCTTTATGGGAACAGATAGTGTCATCTCTCTCCCATGGAGCCACTGGTGGGTTTGAACTGCCAACTTTGTGATTAACAGTCCAGTGTTTCTCTTACAGCAGTACCACAGCTCCTTGCTGATAGACAATAGCAGGCTTTTAATCCACACTATTGTGATTGTGTGTTGAATGCACAATCTCTCCTGTGGAGACTCAAGGTCTATTGTATTCATTCCCTAGAGCCGGTGTAACAAGGAACTATGGGACTGTAAACAGCAGGCATTTCTTCAGGTGGCAGTGTAGCATCCAAGGGGTTGCCTGAACATGCTGTCCTAGGAGAAATGCACCTCTTAAACTGGTCACTGACCCCACATTTAATTGTCTCCTGCTCCTGTAGATGAATATGGACACCGGCGGCCTCCCTTGTTTTTCCTGAAGTCCTCTTTTTGGTTTCAACGCCAAAAGGCTGATCACGTGGCTCTTGAGAATGAAACAGACTTCGATCCTTCATCTAACAACTCTTTTGAGCCAGTGCCTCCTGAATTCCATGGGAAAGAAGCCATCAGGTAATCAATTACAAGGGGGATCAAACAGAGACCAGGTCAGAGACAGGGATCTAACCCAAAGTGAGCAGAGACCTCCTTCTGTGCCCCTTGTACCCGTACACCCAGGCAGCTCTTCTTGTGAGGGGCTACACTCATTCCTAATAACAGTCTGCTTTCTCCCATCGTCACTATTGACACTGACTGCTATCTTATAATGGTGTAGAGACAGCCGTCTAGGAATGAGCAGTTCTCATCTCTTGTTTTTCTTTTTCATGCATTGCTCCCCCTTCCACTGGCCTCCCTCTATGTGATAGACTCAGCCATCGCCTCCTTCGTTATTCTCACCCATCTGTCTCTGTAATTCATGTCGTCTCTCTCATCTTCCATCCTTGTCTACTAAGGTGAGGAGGAAGAGGCAGGTAATGCAGAACAATGGAGAGATACATCCCAGCTACAAAGGAAGGAAACTTGGGAAGTTAGGAGTATTGGTGTCACATGCATCCTCCCACAGAGAAAATATACATGTTTCCTTCAATGCTTATTCCCTGGATTTCCAAACAACTAGAAATCCCTAAATTCCCTAGCTCTTTGCCTAAATTTTGCCTGTTACTTAATGTTGCACTTGTCTTACCCCATCAATGAAAACTTTCCATATCCCCTTTCTTCACCAATATTTTAAAACTCTTATTTATGATACTTACAGCCTCAAAATACTTATCTTCTAAGACTATGAGTCCAATATGGAAGACCACAGAGAGTGACAGCCTCTCATTCTTCATGCATTAGTGCCGTGTATTCAAGAAGTGGGCTGATGGAGGCCTAGCTTGTGTGTCTTCTCCACGACTGAGCTGTAACTAAGTGCTATCAGAGCAGTCATTGCAAGCGTTAGATGTGGAGAGAAGGCATTGTGACTTTGACAAAGAGAGAGGTATTAAAGGTTTATGAATTGTAAGCCATTGTAGATGATCCTTAAGATCTAGGAAGGTAATCTGCAACAATGGGAGGAGGTGTTGGAATCAGTGGTATCCATGTAGCCAACTGTTGGGATGATCTAGAAGGTTGGCTCTATAGCATGGTAAGCCAGGGCTGACTGTCCTGCTTCATTGTTGTAACCTGACCTACATCCAGTGGGTCAACATGTGACATTTACGGTTCTGGATCATGCTGTCCCAGAAACCAGAGCAACTGGGTTCACAATCACTTGTCAGCATAAAGTATGAAAACTTGACGTCATTTGAGATGCATTATTGAACCAGCTAGTGAGTAGGTTCGACCTCATCTAGAACCTACTATCTGACCACTAAAGCTAAATTCCATTAAAGCATGCGGAAATTAAGTCATTGTTTAGGTTGCTTAAATAGAAGTAAGAGGCAACTAATTTTGATGAAGAAAATTCGAAAATGGTTGTAATAGCATATTGAGTGGAAGCTGTTAGAAATTTAAAGACAGATTCTGAAGAGGGCATGGAATGAAGGATATCATTGCTGACATCAGATGGCTCTTGGCTAAAATAGATGATAACAGAAAGATGTTTACTAGTGTTTTATTGATTATGTAAAGGCATTCAACTGTGTGAATCATAACAAACTCTGGCTAACTTTGTGAAGAATGGGAATCACAGAACACTTCACTGTGTTCATGTGGCGATCGTACATAGACAAAGAGCCAGT